TTATTTTGGGGGAAATACGGTACTAAAAGCATCCATCTGGCTGACAAACTTAACTGGGGCTTATTTTTGGGGTAGGGCTTATATTACGAGTATCTTGAAAAATCACGCTAGGACTTATTTTTCCGGTTGGATCTTATTTTCGGGAAAACAGGGTAGACTAGAATTGAACTGAAAGGGACTTTGGAGGTCTTCTAGTCCACCCCCTGCTCGAGCAGGGAAAGCGAACTCGTGCGCAGGAGCCCCGAAGACCAGGTGGCTACTCGAGGCTAGAAGGCTGTAGGATTTGGAGTGGGGAGGGGGAGGCAAAGCTAGCAGCCTGTTCCCAAGCGCCTTTTCAACAAGGATCCTCCAGAGTGAAAAAGGGGGAGGCAGACCCTCAGTGAGAGCAGTCCTTACTCCTGATAGTAGGACCTCCAGGGAGAATGCGGGATCTTCAGTTTCCTAGATAAAAGCCTCACATCACTCCATCGTTGAGTAACGGTGCATGGGTCGCCTACAGGGCAAAGCTTCAATGTAGACCCCCTCTTCAGGTTTTTTTAAAAGGTATTTTAAAAGTTTAAAGGTACAGTCATATCCATCCATCCATCCATCCTACATCTTAGTCCATCCTTCCATCCCTCTAGGTATCCGGATGTATGTATGTATGGATGGATGGATGGATGGATAGATAGAGATATAGGATACCTTTATATATCTGTATCTATATATCTATCAATCTCTGTCTATCTGTCTATCAATCCATCCATCCAACATCTTAATCCATCCTTCCATCCCTCTAGCTAGCCAGATAGATAGATAGAGATATAGGATATGTTTCTCTGTCTGTCTGTCTATCTGTCTGTCTGTCTATCCATCCATCCATCCATCCAACCAACATCTTAATCCATTCTTCCATCCCTCTAGCTAGCCAGATAGATAGATGGGTGGATAGATGGATGGATGGATGGATGGATGGATGGATGGATGGATGGATGGATAGATAGAGATATAGGATATGTTTCTCTGTCTGTCTATCTGTCTGTCTATCTATCTATCTATCCATCCATCCATCCATCCATCCAACCAACCAACCAACATCTTAATCCATCCTTCCATCCCTCTAGCTAGCCAGATAGATAGATGGATGGATAGATGGATGGATGGATGGATGGATAGATAGAGATATAGGATATGTTTATATATCTGTATCTATATATCTATCACTGTCTGTCCATCCATCCATCCAACCAACCAACATCTTAATCCATCCTTTCATCCCTCTAGCTAGCCAGATAGATAGATAGATGGATGGATGGATAGATAGCTTTATCTCTCTCTCGCGTGCGCGTGCGTGCGCTCTCCATCCACTCACCCACCCATCCACCTACCTACCTACCTACCATCTATATCTATCTAATCCACCTATCATCTCTCTCTCTCTCTCTCTCTAAGCCATCCTCTCCTGCTGCCCTGCAAACTTAATGCCAGTCCTCCCTGTCTGCAGCCTGGCTGAGCCAGAGCCTCTCCCCACTGCCCCCACCCCCTCCCACCCAGTCTCTGGTGGGTCGGCCAGTTCGCTCCCTCCCACGCCTGCCCCTTTCAGCCAAACTCCCTTCTCCACTCAGTTCAGCCTCGGGGAGCAGCTGGCTGATTTCCCAGGGTGCCTGGGACCCATTCCGCGGTGGGTGTTTCCGAGGTGAGCGCATCCTTACCCGCTTGCTCCTGTTGCCAAGGCAACCTCCTGAAACAGGTGCAAAGCGCTAGGGCACGGATGGGCGTGGGGAGGCTGCGCTTGCCAGCTTGTGGCGGGGTGGGGTGAGGTGGGGGAAAGCTGAGTGGGAAACGGGTGCCACTCTTGAAAGCTGCACCAAGAGGCATGGATGTGCTTCCACCAACCTGGGGGAGCAAATAGCCATATTCTCACAACATTGATAGCATGATAGCAACAAGATACATCTTAGTGCAGGGGTCTTCAAACCGGGAGGGGGGGGATGATTTTGAGACTTGTGGACTTCAACTCCCAGAATTCCCCAGCCAGCAACTGCAGTGGTTCTTTGAACAACTGTGGCAAAAAAACTTGCGACTCACTTACAATAGCACCTGGGGTGGGATTCAGAAATTTTAGCAACTGGTTCTCTACCCGGTTGCTGGATGGGCGTGGCCATGGTGGGCGTGGCCTACTCGGCCTCCTGCACCACGGGTGGCCGTTTTCACCCTCCCCAGGCTCCGGAGGCTTTCACCCTCCCAGAGCCTCCACACAGGCCCTGCACTTACCTGGCATCCAAAACGGGCTGCATGGAGACTCCTGGGAGGGCCAGGGCAGGGTGGGCGGGGTCAGCCAGTCCTTGCAACTACCGGTTTGGTGAACCAGATTCAGCCGGTTTTCCCGAACCGGCTGAATCCCCCCCCGGAATAGCACTTTCGATTACAATAGAAATCCTAGCCCCAAATGCGATCCTAAGTCAAGCACACCCTGCAGATCGGATGTACCATTTCAGTTAACTTGGGATCCCTCCAGATCCAGCTTTCCAAAAGAAATAAAGAGTTTATTTCAGGGATGAAATGCTCCCGGTTCGGACCGGATCACCTGATCATCCGGTAGGTGGTTCGGAGAACCGGTAGCAAAAATCCCTGCACCCCGCCCCCCTCATGCCCAGCTGAGCCATGCGATCATCAGAGGTTGTTTTTTTTTTTTACTTTTAAAAGCATTTTTTCTACAATCTCTTCGGCTGAAAAAAGGCTTTTAAAAGTTTTTTTTTAAAAAGCCTCTGATGATCGCGCGGCTCAGCTGGGATCGTCAGAGCTTTTTAAAAGCATTTTTTCTACAACCTCTTCGGCCAAAGAGATTGTAGAAAAAACAAAAGCCTTTAAAAGCCTCTGACGATCCCAGCTGAGTTGCCTGATGGTCAGAGGCTTTTAAAAGCATTTTTTTTTTTTACAACCTCTTCGGCCGAAAAGGTTGTAGAAAAAATGCTTTTAAAAGAAAACAAAAGCCTCTGACGATCAGGAAACCCACGCAGTCACATTACCCTCCCCCCCACACACACACCAAGCCACGCCCACAGAACCGGTAGTAACAAATTTTACATTTCATCACTGGTTTATTTAATAACTAGCCTTCCATCCCAAGCAATGAAAAAAACAACAACCAGAGAGCAAGTCGAATGCAGAAAAACAAAGTGGGGGAGGGGAAATCCCCATAAATGAAACCCCAGAATAACAGTGCAGTTGGGCACGTAGATTTCTGCTCAGAATTAAATCCCTCGGTGTTAATTGGACAATATCGACCCAGGTTGCTGTGCTGGCGGTTTCTAAAAATGTAGCTGGGCTAATCTTTTGCAGGAAAACAGCAAAGGGTTCTTTTGAGCGGCTGAAGAGCATTTCACCAAAATTTGCGTGATAATCAGGATTTTTATTTTTTCCAAGAGGCTGCAAGTTCCTTCTGCAATTTTATATTCTTCCCTTTCCTCCCCCCCCGCTTTAAGTTAACATTAGTCAGGTAGTCCCTTAATTTACCACGGTTCGTTTAATGACCGTTCAAAGTTGCAACGGAGCAAAAAAAAAAGGTGACTCTCGGGGCAGATGTTAAATTAGTCACAAGGTTGTTAAGTGAATTTGAAACTCTAAGCTGCTCGGAGTCATCTTGGCATCAGCAAGGTCTAAATTGAATGAAATTAAAAAATACCGTATTTTTCAGAATATAAGACGCTCTGCACCTACCTTTTTTGGGGAGGAAAACAAGAAAAAATAAATCTGCCTTTGCCTCCCAGCAATTTGCCTCCTTGCAGCAAACAGCAAGTTTCAGTTTTATTTTCATCACAGCCTGATTAGCACAAGAAAAAAAAAATCTGCCGCTGCCTCCCAGCAATTTGCCTCCTTGCAGCAAACAGCAAACAGCCTGTTTCAGTTTCATTTTCAGCATAGCCTGATTAGCACAAGGAAAAAAAAATCTGCCTCTGCCTCCCAGCCTCCTTTGCCTCCTTGCAGCAAACAGCCCGCTTCAGCTTCAGCACAGCCTGATTAACACAAGCAGCCGATTGTCGGTTGGATCGACCTCCCGAAGATCAGCTGTTTCAGGCTGCAGGGATTGCCATAGCCTATTGCCGCCTCCATGTGTCCCATTTTCCAGGGGGGTCAGCGGGTGGGCGGAGCTACATTTGGTGTATAAGACACACCCAAATTTTCACCCTCTTTTAGGGGGGAAAAAGCGTGTCTTATACTCCGAAATATATCTATATCTATATCTATATATCTATATCTATATCTATATCTATATATCTATATCTATATCTATATCTATATCTAGATAGATAGATAGATAGATAGATGATATATATATAGATATATAGATATAGATATATATATAGATATATATAGATATATAGATATATATAGATATATATAGATATATATAGATATATATATTAGCTATATCAGTCCATTTGGATTTATGGAACTGGGCTATTCCTGGTCCTGAATTGGACTCGGGATAAACCAGGGGTCTGCAACCTTAAACACTCAAAGAGCCTTTTGGACCCGTTTCCCACAGAAAAGAAAACACCGGGAGCCACAAAACCCTTCCCGTGCCTGACTATTTCCTGAGCGGCCACAAAACTAGCACATGTAGTTGAATTAAACGTTCTGTTTTCTTCTGAAACTTTTCTTTTCTTGGATTTATCCATGGTTGGCCTACCGGAGGTTGAAAAGCTCAATAAATCACATGCCGGCGCGTTGGTAGTTATGACGCCTATTCTGAGTGACAGGGAGCTGCAGCAGAGGGGTGAAAGAGCCACATGCGGCTCCAGAGCCACAGGTTGCTGACCCCTGGGATAAACTAACATCCCAATTCCTGGATGCTCCTTTCAGGTTCAACAAGATTGTGGGTCCCATCAGGGACAGGTTGTAGAGACTGAAGATGGCAAAATGGTGCAACAACTCTTGAACATGTGAATCAACCGAAATAGCTCCTAACCAGACAGCAATTTAACAACATCTTTTTTTTTCCTCTGTTTTCCTTTTAGCTAACAGTTCCCTGCTGGGAGGCGGCGGCGGTAAGTTTTCTAATTGATAGCTTTTTTTTTTTCCTCCATGGCTTTGCAATTAATATCTCAGCTGATTGGGAAAGGAAGGGAAGGGAAGGGAAGAAAAATAGGATCCGGGCGCATGGCTGGTGGCTGGCCCAGCAGATGTTTGGGGTGTAAGGAAGGCCCAGCTGGATTGGACCTACTTTGCCCCAGCCGTGACAAAACAGATGTTCCCCGCCAGCTGACCTGATCCCCGTGGCCATCCAGAATTTGTGGGACTACACAAGCCATCCTCTTTGATTACTGGCCGTGATGGGAACTAGAGTCCAATTCCTTCCAGAGGACTGTTGCATCTTTATTTTACTTTACCTTATTTCACTTCCACGTTCACCTTGGCTTTCACTTTCGCTTTTACCTCACTTCACTTCCACCTTCGCTTTCACGTTCACTTTCACTCAACGTAGCTTTTGCTTTCACCCTTCACTTCTGCCTTCGCTCGCACTTTCACTTCACTTCACTTCCACCTTTGTTCACTTTCACTTACGTCACTTTCACCTAACTTCCTTTTCCTCTTCCCTTTCCCTTTTCCTTCCCTTCCACCTTCAGCTTCTCCTTCGCCTCCGCCTCCGCCCTCAGTTTCACTTTCACCTTTTACTTCCACTTCTGCTTTATTTTACTTTCACTTTCACTTTAGTCCCTTCCCTTCTTTGCTTCGTTCTATTTTATTTATTTCATTTCTTAAATCAAATGTGGATAGCGTCCAGGTGTGGGATTGAAAAATTTTAGCAATCGGTTCTCTTCCCGATTGCTGGGTGGGGGTGGCCTACTCGGCCTCCTGCACCACGGCGGGGAGGGGGCATTTTTGCCCTCCCCAGGCTCCGGAGGCTTTTCTCAAGCCTCCGGGAGGGTGAAAACGGTCTCCTTTGGGCTCTGGAGGCCTTCCGGAGGCCGGAAACGGGCCCGTTTTTCGCCCTTCCAGAGCCTCTGTGTGGGCCCTGCACTTACCTCGCATCCAAAATGGGCCGCATGGAGATTCCTGGGAGGGGCAGGGTGGGGTGGGCGGGGCCAGCCAGTCCTTGCAACTACTGGTTTGGGGAACCAGATGTAAAATTAGCATCTGTCAGATTCCGAACCGGCTGAATCCCACCTCTGAAAGCATTCCTCTTGCTTCTAAGTGACTCTTTCTCTCCAACCTGTGGTCTTTTTCTGTGTCTGCTACTTAAGAACTCATATTAACTTTGTCCCCATGTAAATAACCGTTGGAAAGCCAGTCCTGCATTTATTTCTCATTTTGGGGGGATGTGGTGGGGAGAATCTTTTTATTATTATTATTATTCAAAGCCATCTGCCATGAAACTCGGCCTCTCTTCAATGCTGTGCCATGAAAAGAATGCGTTTGGAACTGTGCATGTCGTGGGAATGTGTTCTTCTTGCATGTTATGTGAACATGTGTTTATGTAAACATAAAACCCTCCATCGCTGGAGGATTTTAAGAGGTGATTGAACAGCCATTTGTTCGAAATGGTATCGGGGGTTGGACTAGAAGACCTCTAAGGTCCCTTCCACCTCTATTATTCCCTGTCTTTTCTAGACCGCTTTTAAGAATTTATGGATTTTTTTTTTTTCCAAATTCAGCCGGTGGCGGATTCTTCCATAAAGCACTGCTTGGGGAAAATCTGCATTTTAGCATTTGATGTGAACCGTATCGCTGTTTGCTCTGGTTATTTTCCTGGGATGCAGCCTTAGGAGGCCTCTTGTTAGCACATTTCTACTCTGCTTCTTAGGGCGAGAGAAAAATTCTGAGTGAAAATTTCTCTGGGCTGTCCCAGAAATCCCCAAAAATGCTTGTGATAGCAGTTCATTTACATAATCGATTGAGCGAGGCCATTAAAAAAATGAAATTGGTCGATCAGCCAGATGTTTGGCAGAATAGAAAACAAACTTTGGCGTATATTAAAAGAAAAAAAAGAAGAAAAGAAATTTATAAAGAAATGACTTCCCCTTTCTTCTCAACAAGTATAAATAATTTTAGTACCGGTAATTTATCACTTTCTCTTAAAATACAACATTTACTTTTTCCCATATCTCATCTCTTATCTATAAATACATCTTTAAAACCTCGTTATTCAATCCCGATCAGCAAAAATCCATTCAGGATTAGCAGAGATAACAACATAACGGTTTTAACCTTGATCAAATAAGCCACCTTTACATTCCTTCCTTTTACAATCTTGATTTTAAGTCCCTCCAAATAATGTCCTGGAATTTGATTTCTTTTTTTCCTTCTTTCTTTGTCCCTTCTCAAAAAATCCTTCAAAGCTTTAGAATTCTCTTTTGCAAATCCAATACAGGGAAGTTATCCAAGTCACTCTTTTGATTTTTTAAAAAAATGTATATCCCTTTTAATTATTAAGACACTCGTGGTTACCTTTGTATGTCCAGTGCAGTACCTTCAGAATAGAGAGGCTTCTTTTTATTTGATTTTCAAATCAGGGTTTTGTCCTGACCCGCTTCCTCCTAAGCTCCTCAGTGTCATCACCTGCTTCAAGGACCCACCCCTGAATTGAATACTTTCTGCTCCTCCAATTGTTCTTACCACAAATTTAAGGCCCCACTGCGCATTGTGGGCATTGTCTACAAAGCAAGGATTTTCATAGGTTTTCAGCTTCCTATGGATTCTCTGTTCTCCACACAAACAGCAAGCTGTGTCTGGTTCCTGATTCCCACGTACCATTCTGTAATGGTATGTGGGAAGACCTTGGGAGACTTGCGAAGAGAAAGGAATAGTTAGATAACAGACAGCTGAGCCCTGAGCTAAATACTGGTAAATCCTTGGCTCACATCCATTTGTTTAAAGCAGGGGTCTGCAACCTTAAACACTCAAAAAGCCATTTGGACCTGTTTCCCACAGAAAAGAAAACCCCGGGAGCCACAAAACCCTTCCCGTGCCTAGCATATGTAGTTGAATTAAACGTTCTGTTTTCTTCTGAAACATTTCTTTTCTTAGATTTATTCATGGTTGGCCTACCGGAGGTCGAAAAGCTCAATAAATCACATGCCGGCGCATTGGCAGTTGTGACACATATTTTGAGTGACAGGGAGCCACAGCAGAGGGGTGAAAGAGCCACATGCGGCTCCAGAGCCGCAGGTTGCTGACCCCTGGTTTAAAGTTTCAAGGGCACTGAAAAAAGGGACTTTGTAACCATTTTTAACCCTTAGAACTGTTGCAGCTTCCCCCTGGTCACATGATCAAAATTAAGCAACGCTTGGCAACTGACTCACATTTATGACAGTTGCAGTGTCCCCGGGCTCACGCAATTCCCCCTTTTTGACAAGCGAAGTCAACGGGGATTCATTTAACAGCTCTGTTCTTAATTTAACAACGGCGGTGATTCGCTTCACAAATGTGGTGTGAAAGGTCATAAAATGAGGCGAAACATCACCACTGTCACACCGAGCAACGGAAATTTGGGGCTCAATCGTGGTCGTAAGTCGAGGACTACCCATAACGGGCAAGGCAAGAGGCTCACAATGGGCCTTCCTCTAATTTTCTCAGCTTGTTAAAAATTGACAGTGGGAGAATGGTACTTTCAGACCAGCCAGATTCTGTCGAGGTAGCTTTACAATAAACACAGAATTAAGTTTATCCAGTTGTGATTTCTGTCCGGTTTCTCCCGCGAGGCTGACACATTTTAGGAGGACCAAAGACTCCCGAGATTTAGCTGTCATCATCCCCGTCTCCTGCCTAGTATTAAAGCTTTCTGTGCCTCATGAGATATTCTCCTTCAGGTTTTTCAAGCTGCCCCTGAGTCCAACACGCTCAAGCTGAACGTTCCTCTTGCACGCCGTCCTCAACAACCGACGTGTCGGATTTCTGCACCTTTTCGGTCCGGGTTTTATTTATTTGTGCCCTAAATTTGTTTACTGCCCCTTCCACAAGATTAGGAGGCATCAGGAAACATCCAAATTGAAAGCGTCCCCAAATAAAAGCCAGCATTCTTCGCTGTTCACCAAAAATAAAAATTAAGTAGAACAAAAAATAAACCAAGAATATATATATTCAAGGAATATATCTCATCATTCATATATATTCACGACAAACCATTTTATACCAAATTTATATATATAAATGTACGTACCAGTATATGTGTGTGTGTGTGTATATCTATTTCTTTCTTTCTTTCTTTCTTTCTTTCTTTCTTTCTTTCTTTCTTTCTTTTTATCTATCTATCATCTATCTAGATAAGAGAGTAAGAAAGATAGATGTGGATGGTAGAAGATAGTTATCTAGCGGTAGATGTCTATCTATCTATCTATCTATCTATCTATCTATCTATCTATCTATCTATAATGTATATCATCTATCATCCATTCATCCATCCCTCTCTCTCTCTCTCTCTCTCTCTCTATTTCAAGGAATATATCTCCTCATCAGGTGTTCCCATCTTTTTATTCAGCAATGAAATTCAGCCATTTCTGCAATGGTGGTTGAACAAGGGATACATGCTGGCTTGTGACAGAGAGGAGAATCTTGGCCTTTTTTTAAGCAAACCGACTTTTAACCAGCTTTCTCTCTTGGTCGTTCTCCAAATTTTTCAGCGACCAGGAAATGTGGATGTAAAAAAAAAATGGTTATTTTTAGGATAAGAAGCACACGCACACACAAAAAGTATGTGAGCTGAGAGGAGAAAAAAATATATATTTTAAACGACGCAAGCTTTCCTATAATTTTTTTCTTCTTCTTCTTTTAATCTACGGCTTAGTTCTTAAATGCCACGGAATGGATTTATAAATAAGCATATTTGAAGCTAACCTGAGCTAGAAAGAGATTAAGTCTCCCACCCCTCTATGGGGGGGGGGAGAAATCCCCCCGCCCCATCCCCGCCTGCCCTCATTTTCAAGAAAGTTTACTAGAAAAGATCAGCTGAGAACAGTTACTCCTACAGAGCAGCACTGGGCAACCTCTTCCGATAGCCGATGATTATGCAAGCAGCAGTCACAGGCTAGTACAGTAATGGCTAACCTTTTTGCCGTCGCGTGCCAA